CAGTATTATCTTACTTCCACAGATTTAGCAATTTCAAAGCCAGTTTTGGAGCTCCTCTTCATATTTTTCCTTCAGCCTCTGAAAACAATCACTCTTTTTATTTACTGGAAGACCATAACTCCAGATGAAAAAGAAGACTTTTCTCAACAGTCTGACAAGGTTACAATTAAGAGTCTACTAATGTTGGAATTTGGGGACCTGTCTGTCACTAATCAGGTGGAAATGTGGACATGGAGATGTGCCCATATCCCCCTTCAAGGAAGGACTTGCTGCAGGGAGTGAGGTCAAGGTGTGCCTCAGCTTCAAGAGCCGCCTGGCCCAAAGCCACACCCTCCCCAGGGCAGCCCACATCTGCCCTGTGACCCAGAGAGCAGAGGGAGGAAGCCCAGTAATTCTGGCCTGACACAGGACACTGATGGGCAATGCTCAATCCAGAGCTTCCCAGTGGGCTGGCCAAGGCTTGGCAGGACTGCACCGAGTTGGACTTCTCCTTCTGCCCAATCCTGCTTCCTCTTTCTTTCCTTCGTAGGTGCTGATCCCTAATATATATCTTGCACCCCAAATTCTATCTCAGTATCTGCTCCAGGGAACCCAGTCTGTGACAATTGGCTACCATGTGCTAAAAGGGCAGGATGGGATGGGGGGGTATGTTTACTGCAAACAAAGGAAACAAAGCACAGAAAGGGTAGAGGGGAAATTTGAGATAGCACTACCATACAACCTTGGATAGCTCCATGTCCAACAATAATTGGGCTGCTCAAAGGCCTAAGAAACTATAACTATGATAGGTGGAAATCTGTTACCTGATCAACTTAGACCAAAATCTCATAAGGGAAGCAATATCATCTAGCCTTGTTCCTAACCCTAGGCATAACCTGATTTGGTGGTCTCAGCCTGAAGCACCAAAGGCTGACTTCTCAGAAAATGCAAATATCTGCTGGGTATTATATAAAACCCCAGCTAGTATCAAGATTAGCCAAATCATCTAAATGTTAGTTGCAGTTATATTTTTCAACTACCTTTAAATGTACAGTGAAAGAGAAAGTGGCACTTTATAGAAAATGTTTTCTTATTTCATTTGGAAAAGTGGGTTTAAAGCCTGAGATTTAGCCTGGTGTGGGTCAGAGATCATACATAGTTTCTGTAGTGACAGGAGCCACTGCAAATCCTGCAAGAAAAGGTAATCTTTGAAAACGAAACGCTGCCATCTGTCATCCACCAAACCAACCCCCCCGACACACACATACACTTAAAACCCCTCACTGGCTTCCCACTCCTCTAACAGTAAAGACCCCAGCCCTACAAAGTCCCACCCACAGAGACTGGCCCCTAACTCTGTCTCCAGCCTCATTTCACTCCCTCTCCTCCTTGCTTCCAGTGCTCTCCATGCTGCAGCCACATTGGCCTTCTTAATGGTTCCTCAAATAAGCCATGGTACCTCCTGCTATAGGGCCTCACACATGCTCTCCCCTCTGCCTGCAACTCTCCCACCCAAACTGTCACCTAGTTAATGATGACTCACCTTTAGTTTCCAACTCAAGCACCATCAGTTCCTCTGGGAAGCCTTCCCTGGCACCACACTCCACGTCTAGGACAGGTACCTCAGTGATATAATCTCACAGAATCACACTCCTTTATTTCAGGGCATCCATCTCATCATCTCATTTAGAATTATACCCTCGCATCTGTGAGTGGTTGGTTAATCTGTCTCCCCGCTTAGACTGTAGGCTTCAGGAAGGCAGGAATGGTGTCTGGGTTTGCTCTCTATCTTATTCCTAGTTCCTGGCACAGTTCCTGGCAGATAGTAAGCACTTGACTTGTTGAATAAGTGGATAAATGAATGGTTGAATGAATGAACGAGTGAACAAACAAGGAAAATGAGAGAATTTCTAACTTTGGTTGGGTGGCTTGAAGTTTCTTGGGGTTAAAATGTAGAAATGGGGAGTTAAAACCAGAGGTGGTTGGGCGGAAGATAGACATACATGCTGGCAATCATTAGAGAGAATTTCTCCCTAACCAGCGGCAAAGAGGAAGGGTGGGGCTGGGGAGGCAGCAAAGCACCATCAGAAGTCACAACATAGCTGCCAACCTTTGGACCAAAATACCCAAGTGCCAGGCCTTAAAGTAAATGAAAATTATTCACTTCACAATCAGGAGAAAATGCCATGGAATTAAAGTTGGAGTATATTCTTGAATTGGATTTTATTCTCCAGGGCCCTAAAGTTAACCAGCTGGAATCATTTTCTAAGGACCATTCTATTTAACCTTTGGAAACGAAGCATCTGCCTTTTAATGGAAAAACTACTTCTCACTGTAAAGATAGCTCATGATGTTCTTGGCTTCTTTGGTCTCCAGAAAAGGAAACTCAGATATCTCCCCATGTCCTCGCTGTATCTTGAACCCCCTATATCAACAAAACAGGCCAGATTAATAGCTAACTTTATTTTTTAATAATAAGTAGAATGTACCAGCTCATCCAGAGAATACTAGACAGGGCAGCCTACATAGACATATCAGCCTCTCAGAAAGTCTCAGGAGGCTTAGGAAGCCACAGATTGAAGCGCCCCACATAACCAACCTCAAAGTCACTGTATTCAGACAAAAGGCCAAGTATACCACCCACTCAAAGTTCTGCTCCTAAAAAAGCATTGACAATCAATTAATCAAATATTACTGCTTTGCACAAGTCCATGCTGTGATGCACACAGTGAAGAGAGGTCCCTTCCGTAAGCATACTATAACCCAACTAAAGAACTGAGATCTGGAAGAACTAAGAAGTTGGTCAACAGCACAGGCACAGTATATGGATATCAGCAAGTTCAGACAGCCCATAGCCACCCACACTAAAGTCCATTGAACATCTTCTACTGCCTGTGGGCTCTGAACCAGAAAGGGTGGGGATGTGTGTATCAGGCTACTTTCACTCTCCTGACCATTAGACAGGCAGCCTTCCAAGGAAGGTGGGGCCTGTTCTGTGGCATAAGCAGGGTTTCATTCTTAAGCCCTACCACCACTACACACACATCATTTAACATAACCTTGCCCTCACCATACAGCCTTTCATTCCTTTGTTAATTTGCTCATTTAACAGGTAATTATTGAATGGCCATTTTAAGCCAGGGACTGTGCTGGTTATTGGGGCGAGACAGGGTTAAACAGGATGTGACCCCTAACCTCAGGAGCTGTATGCTCTGTTGTTAATGGTGGGCATTGGTGACAGATGGTCTGGCAATAGAAACTGTATGAATATTAGGATAAAGAGAAGCTCAGGAGGCTCCATGGGACTCCAGCTGCTTACACTGCAAAGGCTGCTTGTCTTGTTCATTTCTGTACCTCCCACACCCATTACTGTGCCCAACACACAGTAGGCGCTCAGTAAGTTTTTAGTGACATAATGAAAATCTTACTGGGGCCGACCGACCTCCAACTCTGTCTCTCCATGGCTTCTCCCCATTGGTCCTAAGCCTGACAGTTGGCATCCTATGCCTAGATGAAAAGAGATGAGGGCGCATGGCAATTCTTCCAATAGGTCATAATATGTTGGTGTTGGGAGGAACTGGACAACATTTTCTGTATCACCCCCATCCCCTCCCAGACATCATGTCCCCATAGTTGAGGTCCTTCATGAACCACTTGGGCCTTCATGCTTTCCTGATTCCTCATCCTGGATGTTCTTTTAAGAATATGCAAGTTGGTCAATGTCCCAATTAAAACTCAGGAATCCAGACCTTGACACAGAACCTTGAAGCTCCAGCTGGCTCAGTGGCAGGGAGCCACCTCCTTCTCTGAGATAATGGGCTGTGGAAACCGCAATCTTGTCTTCTAGTTGTGGCTTCCCACACCACCAGGGCCTCCTGCAGGCCCTGGGGCCCCAGGGAGGCAGAGCCATTCTAGAGAAAGCTGAGAAAAATAGGGATGAAGAGGTCCTTGGAGGAGACTGAGAAGTGACTGCATGGGGGAGGGGGGGACAGTGGCCCTTGAGGCACAGCAAGCAAATGAGCTAACAGGAAATGGTGGGGGCTGTGAAGGGGTAGCCAGGAGGTATGAGGCAACTGCCCCCTCAAGTAAGACAGGCTAAGTAAGGTAAGGTCCAGCAGGGACCCAGAGTCCCAACCCTTCAGCCAGAAAGCACCTCAGAATCAGTCCAGAGTGGTCTTGGGACATGCTCAAAGTCCCCCAGCTGGCTAGCAGCATGAAAGGGTTAGAACCAGTTCTGATTTCCACTCTGGAGTTCTTTTTCTCATCACCTTGCTACCTCCCAGATATGGGTCTCATGGGAGAGTTCTTGGCCTGTCACATCCTGAATAATCTCCCTTCACAGATGATTCCTGCTTGTCATGCAGGGCTGGGCTTTTCTGGATGGGTGGCTTTTGTAACCCTCCAATGCCAGCTGTTTCCCCGTCTCTAGCCATTCCCTTCCTAGGAAAGATCGAGTGGGGTCTTCAGTGGCCACATGAGGCCTTATGACCCTGGGGAGGAATGATGGGCAGCCTGGGACCCAGCCCAGCACCAGACCTCCCAGGGACAGTGGGCACATGCCTTGGCATCTGGGCATGCTGATCCTTTTCGCCAGAGAGGGCAGTGTGGGGGGAGGAGGGGGCGGAATCCAGCGACTTCTCAGGCCATAAGAATTCCTGCTCTCCCCCTCAGTCTGATCCTCGTTCTGCCCGTCTGGGCCACGGCAATGCCCACGCGCAGGGCAGCGGGGGAAAAGGAAGGAGAGACGGGTTTGCTGGTTTGCTTGGCCGGGCACCAGGAGCGTGAGCCCTGCCCCCCTCCGCGGATTGTCTCCACTTGCTCCTCTCCCCCTCTCCGCCTGCCTGTCCCTCCGGGCTGCTCTGGCGCCACCACTACTGTCCCCAACCCGCCCCGCCAGCCAGGCCAAAGGGCGGCGTGACTCACGGCGCTGCCACCAGCCCACAGCTTGCCCACAGCGTATAAAGGCTGCGGGGTTGAAAGGTGGCAGAGCCTTGCCCGACCCGGCCCGAGGCGCGCAGAGTATGGCCGGAGGCGCGGAGCGAGGCCGCGGGGTCGCGGGCTGGGGACTGCGCGGCGCCCTGGCCGCCGTGGCCCTGCTCTCTGCGCTCAATGCTGCGGGCACGGTGTTCGCGCTGTGCCAGTGGCGCGGGCTGAGCGCGGCGCTGCGAGCGCTGGAGGCGCAGCGTGGCCGGGAGCAGCGCGAGGACAGCGCCCTGCGCGCCTTCCTGGCGGAGCTGAGTCACGCACCTCGCCGGGCGCCCGCGCCACCGCCAGATCCTGTGAGCGCCGCGCGCAACAAGCGCAGCCACGGCGGGGAGCCGGCGCAGCACATCCGCGCCGAGAGCCACGACATGCTGTTGATGATGACCTACTCCATGGTGCCGGTAGGCGGGGGCTCAGCTCCCCTTGACGCCCCCGCCGGGGTAGGCGGCGTACAGTGTGGGGAGAGAGCCCTAGACGCCCTCTCCTCCCCTGGCCAGATGGCAAGGTGCCGTGGGGAGAGGTCCTGGGTGTGAGCCCTCTGGGGAAGTCACCGTGGCAAGCACCTTAACCCTCTGGGGTCAGTTTCTTCATTGTTAAATGGGGGAGGGAGTGAAGGGGTAAGTCTTCCACCTCTGACGTCGTTCAGTCTGCAGATAAATGAGGGGAGTAGGCAGTGTTTTTAAGAGACTGCTTCCTAACTTTGGACGTAAGTTTTCACCTTCTGGTGTGCCGGGAGCCACAGCAGCCCCGGGCTGTGCCTGTGCAATTCGTAGGGGCCCCATGAGAGCACGGAGGTAGCATTTCTGAGAGAGCGCAGGCTTTTTCAATAAAGGGATTCGTTTCACCTGGCCTTGGCTCATCAGCACAAGACTGCCGACCTAATAGACTCTGTTTAAGTGAAAACAATCAGCCCTAATTTTACCAGCCCCGGGACCTTTCTACGGAGAAACTTAATCTTGTGTCTAAAGTGGTTACAAATGGTGGAAATCAACATAGAGCAATTTTCTTAAAACGCAATGTCAAAGCTGAGGTTCATCATATGGGCTCTAAGAAGTCTATGGAACTTCAGAAAATGTCAGCGTGTGCTCTCGCAGGCGCGTGCATCTAGGGATAGTCCATAGCTTCTCGTTAGATTTTCAATGGGGCTCCATTGCACTACCCCCAGGAGGTTTAAGAAACACTGCTGTTAAAAAAAGTATTTAAAGCAAAGCCTCAGAAATCTTTTTTCTAATGTTAACTTTCTTTGCTTTTGCTGATTTTAACTCAGTAATTATACATTTAGATCACATTGCAGTTCCCCATTTCATTTCATTATCCGTTACAACCGCTATGGTCTTATTTCACTTTAAAATTACAAAGATTTCAGTTCTGTCACCTCAAGTCAAGTGTAAGCCATATTTTGGACTCCTAGGTATTTGAAGATAAATCCACTTAAACCTGTTATAGAAGTTTTAAAATATCTTACATGAGCTGAAGTGCTTTTAAAACTACATGGAGGACCTCCCTGGTGGCCCAGTGGTTGGGAGTCCGCCTGCCAATGCGAGGGGGGGAGGGGGGAGGAGGAGGGTGGGGGAAGAGTTCGAGCCCTGGTCCGGCAGGATCCCACATGCGGCATAGCGGCTGGGCCCCTGTGCCACGGCTGCTGAGCCTGCGCTCTGGAGCCCCTGCATGAGCCACAACTAGTGACCCTGGGAGCCACAGCTGCTGAGGCCCGTGCTCCTGGAGCCCATGCTCTGCGGCGGGAGGGGCCTCTGCAATGAGGGGCCCGAGCACCGCGGCTGGAGAGGGCCCGCGGGCAGCGGCAGGGACCCAACGCAGCCAAAAATCAATCAGTCAGGGAGTATTTTATATAAAAAAGATAAAATAAAACTACATGGAAGTACTACACACTTCAAACACATCTTTTGAGAAAGATCACATTTTCCATTCCTGGATTCAGTTTTTACCCACGTTATCATTCAGAAATCTGGGCCCAAGCAAAAATTTCAAAAGAAAGAACTATGTAAAACGAAGAAATCTCCTTAAGGGAATTCACTTTCTTGGCTCTCCACCACGTATTTTGAGGGGTTTTTGAAATCGTCTGAGAAGGATGCATCTGAACATCAACATTTTATATTTTTAATCCTGCTTTTAAGGTAGAGGCTTATGTATCCAAATTGCATCCTGTTCAGTCACTAACCCAAGAGAACGCACAGACTCATTTCTGTGTCAATATGAAAGCTGATTTAACTACCACCACCTGCTCTGTTGCAAGTCAGCGGAAACATTACATTTGTCAGGCTGAGAAGCACTTGTAGATTATCCCCAACTCATCCTCCACTTGCAATGGGTGTGCTTTGACCTTTTGGAGTCACTGAGGGACTTTCTGTGCAGGCCAGGAGAAAGCCACTATCATATTCCTCTTGGGAGTAGTTCTCAAACAGTAGGCTTAGGGATCACCTGGGAACATATTAAAAATGCAGATTTCAGGGCCCCCACCCTCAGAATTGTAGAATTATAATCTCCAGAATCGGCTTCCTTCCTGATCCCCATTCCCCCACCTTCCCAACCCCTTGATGAGTTTGGTACAGGTGGTCTAGGTGCCACACTTTGAGAAAAGCTCCTCTAGACCATAGCTTCTCTAATGTGCATGTGAATATTTTGGGGATCTTGTTAAAATACAGATTCTGATTCAGAAGGTCTAAGTTGGGGCCTGAGCTTCTGCATTTGTAGCAAGCTCCCGCTGACATCAGTGCTGCTGGTCTGAGAAAAACACTTTGAATAACACCGTTCCAGAGCAGTGGTTGCACATTGAAATCATATGGGGAGTTTAAACACGACTGATGCCTAGGCCCCACCTCCCAGAGATTCTGAATTAATTGATAGGGGTGGTGCCCACTCACCAACACAAAGGACCTTGGCGTGCCTTCCCGATGACGGTCAGCTGTGTTAAGCATCTCACTCTCATCAGTTCTCCCTTGAGGCCTCTACTTTGGGCAGAGGAACCAACTTAATTGGTGAAAAGCCCTTTACCTACTTTATTTTAGCAACACTCTCACCATTCACCTTTGCAGATTTTTCTCATTTTTACTCTCTGTTTTTCTCAGAACAGAGAATTATTCACGTGAGGAAACAATTTTTAAGAACTTTCTCAGGGCACCTTGAGTAGAAAAGCTGCTAAGAGAACTATTTAGTGTACAGCATGGAGGTCAATGTGCCCACTTCTGAAGGTTGAAGTCTACACTTTCCCTCGCCCTTTTATATAGCACCTGTAGGTCTTGAATGAGGGTGAAATCAGAAGTCCCATGTCCTTAGAGATCTAGGAACAAAGAAGTAAGCTGTATGCAGACTAATTTCAGCATTTCAAAAAGTCTTCCAAAATGGCTCATTTATCCAAGATGAGCCTTCTTAAGCCAACTGACACTTCTAAGTTCTGTGCTTTTGGCTGAAAGTACATCAACTCAGCGTGGTCATTCTGGTTAGCACAGTCTGACCGGAAACTGATTGGCAGCTGTAAATGACTTTGTTAAAAGGGCAACATAACTAATTATTACTTAAGTACAGTTAGTTTGGTACAGCCAAACACATTAAATCTTTAAAAGTAAGTGGGTACTTTGGAGAAAAGTAATAAAAGGGGCCCTGGGTACCAGTGAGCTTGACCAGTAATGGAACCCATCTGCCAGGAACTCCTGCAGGAGATGCTGCTTGTGTTTAGTCTCCACTCCCTCGCCAGCCCTCTTCTCCCTCTTCCTCTCATCAGCTGCTCTCTCTCACCCATTCTTCAGGTCTCACTCTTATTGATGTTCTGGTAGCTTTATCATCCTCCCTGAAATCTTAGGTCGAGCACCCAAGAAAGTTTTACTTCTCACAATGTGCACCTTAACAAGCTTTAAATGGATCAAAGATTTACATTTAAAAAATGAAACTCTAAAATTGCTAGAAGAAAATATGAGTAAATTCATTTTTAATTTTGGAATGGGGAATACCTTTCTTTCAAACTATAACTCAAAAGCCTGAAGCAAACAATAAATAAATAAGTAAATTTAACCACATTTAAAGAGCACACACAACAACAAAACTGCATCACAAACAACAATAAAAACAAACTCATACACCATAAACAGAGGCAAAAGATAAATGACAAACTGGAAAGAAATATTTGCAGCTCATATCATAGGTACAGGGCTACTCTTCTGAATATATATAGCAGTTCTAGAAGTTGATTTTAAAAGATAAGAATTTAATAGGGAAATCTGCAACAGAAATAGGAATTCAGTAGGAGTATGGAACAGATAGTTCTCAGGAAAAGAAATACAAATTTCTCTTAAAAACACAGGAAAAGAACTCTTGATTCAAAAATGCAAATTACAACTGCTCTGAAATATAATTTTTACCTGTCAGAATGACAACTGCAAAAGTTTGTAGACATATTCTGTTGGGGAAACTGAAGGGAAACAGACATGCTCTTGCATTGCTGTTTGGAGTGCAAAATGCTACAACCCATATGGAAGCCAATTTGGCAATACCTTTGGATTACAAACCCATTTACCCTCTGACCCAGTAATCTTGCTTGTGGGAATTTATCCTGCACAACAGACTTTATCACCTCTGAAATGACGTATGCACATAGTTATTCATTGCAGAATATTTGTAAAAACAAAAGACTATTAACCTGTGTCCACTACAGTACTAGTTAAATAAACTGACCTATACATCGACTGGGATACGAGGTAGCTGTAAAACAAGAATAAGTAAATTCTCTGTGTTCTGCTATGGGAACAATCCCCAGGATATATTTTAAGTGACAAAAGTGTAAGGAAGAAGGGGGAAAAATAAATGAAATTAACAAAAGTATTTACTTAGGGAGGGTGGGGATGAGGTGGGAATGAGCCTTTCACTGCATAGCTTTGTGCATCATTTTGACTTTTGAACCATGTGATTCTGTTACTCATCCTGAGTGAAAAGGCCATAAGCACAAGGTTACATGGCAGCTGCCCCTGGGCTGGGGGCCATAGGGCATCGTAGGGACTCCTCCAGCCCAAGGTTCATGTGCTGTGTCTATAGGGGAGGCTTTTGCTGTGGCTGCTGTATGAGGATGAGAGCCCAGTGTGCCTGATCTTTTGATTTTGTCAAGAAAAGTAAAAAATCTGACTTTTTATGTGAAATCTCTTGGCTTTGAAGTATTGACAAAAATTCCCTCAAAATGTTTTTGAATTGACTGGCAGTGTGTTGGCCAAACAACACTCACATTGTTAGGGACCATGTTAGGACTTCCAAGCTTAGTTTGCAGCAGGCTCATCTCATAATAATGAGTAGTTTTGAACAAAAATGGCTTTATTTAGTTCCAGCACAACCTCCACCCCCACCACTGATTTCCCAGCCTGGTTCTGAAAGGATAGTGGTATCTAGGCCACTGTTATCA